CAAAGTAATTCCTATCAGAGAAGTAACCAATCAAGGAAGCAATAAAGAAGAGTGTTGGCTTGTGGCTTCTTTCTTCTTTGGGTGAGACAAAGCATTTCATGGGGAAGAATTGCCTCTTCTGACAGTTTTGTGAGAGTGGAGCATTTAATTTTCAAGTAGAAAAGGGAAATCGTGTCAGTAATGCCATGTCTTTTCATCCTCTGTTGAGACAGTTGCAGGCTGCCAAAAGACATCGTCTGCAATACGGAACTTGGTGCCACGTTTCTTTTTCTGTCAGAGGATGAAGAGGGGAAGTATCCCAGAATCATGGAGCCGTGGCATGCTTTGGCTTGGAAGGGACCTGAAAAATCACATGGTTGCCATCCTGCTGCTGTGGCGGGGGACCCCTCGCACTAGACTGGCTTGTCTAGAGTTCCATCCAGCCTGGCCATGAACACTGTCAGGGATGGGACATCTACACCTTCTCTGGGCAACCTGTTCCAGGAGTCTTTTTCTGAATCCCTCATCTAAAGCGACTCTCTTTCCATTTGGATCCATCCTCTCTTGTCCTGTCCTTGCCTGCCTTTGTACCAAGTCCCTGCCCAGCCTTTCTAGTAGGTTGCCCTCAGGTACTGGAAGGTCACAGTTGGGACAAGCCTAAGTCGAAGTCTCTTTTCCAGGCTGAAGAAGCCGAGCTGCGTCAGCTGTGTCAGCCTTTCCTTGCAGGAGAGGTGCTGCAGCCCTTGCACATCTCGCTGTCCCTCCTCAGCAGCAGCTGCAGCGTGTCCACGTCCTTGCTGTCCGTGCTGGGAAGAGCCGGACGCGGCCCTGCAGGTGCAGTGTCAGGGCGGGGAGGAGACACGGCCCTGCCTGTGGCTCCAGGAGCAGCACTTGGCGAGTGGCTGCCCGCCCTGCAGAGAGCCGGGCCCTTGTGCCTGCCCTTCTCCCCAATCTGCATGAGATTATGAAATCACCAGGAGAAAAGAGCATGAACAAATTCTGCTCTGGCAGTATCTCAAGGCTTTGAGGGAGAGGGTTGTGAGGGCCTATTAACTCACAGGGATGCACAGAAAGTGTTGAAATGGAAAAAATAGTCAAAACTATTTAGAACTGGGAAGGAAAATCTGAGACACTGGCAGCTAGCACCTCAGAAACACATGGCTTTTGCTCCTATCATCTGAGAGCTTCCTGAGCAGGAGCAATTCTTTGAATTGCATCAGCGTGGCCATGGCAGGAAAGGGAAGCGAGCAGATGGATTTAGTTTCTCCTGCCACCCCCTGAAATCCCAGTTCTCATTTGTGTGTGCTGCGGATTCTGCATCAGGGGCCTGTGGCCCTGAGTGGGTGGCCACCGCCTAAAATTTGGAATGGCGCAGGATGTCTCCCAGACCAAGCCTGCCACCAACTCAAATGTCTACTGCCCTGACAGTCCCAATTGCTCCCTGCAAACTGAAATCAGTAACTGGGGTGGCGATCTTTGTTTCACAGAGCAAATGGCCGCTGTTTGTGTTCAGGGGCCTGTGGCCCTAAGTGGGCAGCCACCTCCAAAAAATCCAAACAGTGCAGGATGTGTCCCAGGCCCCCCAACCTGCCACCACCTCGAACTTGCTCTGCCCTGACAGTCCCAAGCTCACCTGGCAACCTGACACCAGGAACCTGGGGTTGCGAGCTTTGTTTTCCAGGGAAAAGGGCCAGCGTTCTTGGTCAGGGGCCTGTACAGGGCCCTGAGTGGGCTGCCGCCTCCAAAAAATCCGACCGGCACAGGACGTGTCCCAGAGCCAACGTTCCACCACGTCAAACTTGCTGCACCTTCCCCTGGCCTTGCTCACTCCTGTGCACCTGCTACTGAGAGAAAGTGACTGCAAAGCCTGGGTCACCTGTTTTCACCTGGGAGAACTGCTCCAAATACACAGGAATCTCCAATAGGCAGGAATCTCCCAGTATGCAGGAATCTGTGTCACCAGTGAGCAAGAAGACACTATCTAGACAGCACTGCAAGCCAGAGGAAACCTGATTCTAGGCAGCTTCCTTGCAACTGTCTCACTTATAATTGATATTCTATTGTTTACTTTGCAGGCTTGCGCTTATCAATGACACTTTGCTGCATGAAACAGCTGGAAGACTTCTACCTCCTTTTCCAAATCCTGGGGCAAACTGTGGTGATAAATGAGCCCTGAAACAACATGATTTATAGTTCTGTAGCCTCAAGGTGCACTGCAGATCCTTTTGTACAAATTAAATCCTGCTTAAGTCTCCTTAAATTTCTCAGGGTGACCTCTCTTCTTCCCTCTCTCAATTCTTGTTATGAACCACTGAAAGTCTACCTTCCTTTTTAAAATGTTATTTTAATTAAGCGTCATATATTTCCATTTATTTTCCCTTCAAGTAGCATTGGGCCTCAACCACTGTCAGCTCAAAGGGGACAGTGAATGTCTGGTCAAAGAAAACACTGCTTGTAAAGACAAGAAGGCTGCTGGGCTCCTGGCAAGTGCATGCACAGAGACACTGATCCATGTGCTGATGAGC